GGCGCCTGGCAGCAGCAGGCGGAGCAGAGCGTGGCGGAGCGGCAGCTGGTGGCGGCGGCGCAGAGGTGGGTGTGGCGGCCTGGCACTGCCGCTGCTCGTTTGTGTCTGTGTGGTTTATTGCAGCTGATCTGCTGCTGCCGAAGCCAGGCTGACCTTGGCCGCTTGTCGCCTGCTGCAGGCGCATCGCCCGCATCCGCCTCGCCGCAGCGCTGTCCGGCTGGCGCCAGCACAGCGCCGACCTGGCGGCCGCGCGGCAGGCGGCAGCGCAGCGTGGGGCGGCGCGGGGCACCGCCCTGCTGCAGGGCTGCCTGCTGGCCTGGGCTGGCCACGCTGCGCAGCGGGCACGGCAGCAGGCTGGCATGGCGCAGCTGGTGGAGCAGCGCGCGGCCTGGCTCACGCTGAATGTGGCGCACTCCTGGCGCGCCTATGCGCAGCACAGGCGGCAGCGCCGCGCTCAGCTGCACCACGCCGTGCGCAAGCTGGCGGGCGTGTGCCAGCGCCACGCCTTTGCGGCCTGGCGCCAGGAGGCGGCCTGGCGGCGCGCCGAGGCGGCCCGCCTGGCAGCTCTGGAGCGCCGGGTAGCTCGCCGCTCTGCAGCCCTGGGCCTGGCCGCAGCCTTCCGCGGCTGGCGCAGCCACGCGGGCGCCCTGGCGTCGGCGCGGGCCGTGGTGGATGCAAAGGTGGCTGCCGAGGGCGGCGTGGTGCGGCGCCACGTGCTGGCCGCCTGGCGCAGCGCCAGCGAGGCGCAGGCGGCGCGGCACGCCCACATCCTGCGCGTCTGCGTGGCGCGCCGCTGCGCCTCGCTGCAGTCACGGGGCCTGGTCACCTGGCTGCTGTTTGCGCAGGTGAGGTGGCGGCAGGCGGCTGCTGCTGCTGCTGCTGCTGCTGCTGCTGCCGTGCCCATGAGCTGGCGTGGCATGCTTTGCCCCTGCATGGGCCGCTCCTTGTGTACAGCAAGTTACCCCACGCCTCCCCTCCCTGTTTTGCCTGCCCGCCCGCAGCGCCAGGCCCACAACCGTGAGGCGGTGGAGGTGATGGTACACCGCATGGCGCGCCGCCTCATGCACGCCGCGCTGCTGACCTGGCGCCAGGCGGCGCAGGAGCGGCGCGTGCGGCGCATCGCCATGGCACGCTTCATCCAGGTGGGTGGGGGAGGGGGGCAGGCAGGCAGGCGCATATGGGTGTGGGGTATGGTGCGTGGGTTGGTGGTGGGTGGGTGGGTGAATGGGGGACAGGGTAAGCAGGAGATGAGCGTACACACCGGGCCGCTGCCGCTTGTTGTTGTATGTGCCAATGTACGTGCTGATAGGGGCACCCTGCTCCCTCCCTTATCCTCTCCCGCCCCCGCCCCGCAGCGCTGGGACGCGCAGCGCAAGGGCGCCGCGCT